GAGCACGGGGCCGCCTACTCCAGAACCACAGTCCCTCCTGCTGCCTCCAGCGCCGCTTTGATCTTCTCTGCTTCCTCCTTGGAGGCATTAGCCTTGATCTCCTGGGGAAGGGACTCCACCAGCTTCTTTGCCTGCAGGAGGGACAAAGTACAACACTTGTAAACTGGCTTTCACTAACTGGATTAACAGATTTAGAGCCACAAGCCTGACCTCTGCATAAGCAGACCAGGGAAACTCACCACCTGGTCCAAAACCCAAGACTTTTATTTGAACTACAGTGCATCCTGCCGGAAGACATCTAAAACCTGACTGCAAGCGACGGCACATCCACTATAGCCCTGGAAGACCTTTTTCAGCGAGTAATTGCCTGTAAATTCCTCCCACCACATGCACGGTGCTCCCAGAGGGGCAGCCCCGCTCCGAGAAGGCGCCTGGGACGCATGCAGAGCCACCACGCAGTAACCTGCCAAGGCAGCTACTGCCCTGCGTCGGGCAGACTTTTTTCAGTGCCAATGTTTTGATTCACATATTTCCGCCAGCGGGGAGGAGAGGCCGTCTCAGGGTTTGTACGCAGCTGTGCAGGAATCCACTGTACCGGGTAAAAAAGAGTTCCAGTCCAGACTATGCTTGACAACACCATCTCGATAGTTTCAGGGCTTTTTATACAAAACTATTGGTACTATGCAGTACTGCAATATTTAAGGCAAGATAGAAAGCTGTTGAACTGACTGAAAGGGGCTTCCTGCAGTACTGCTGTACAGAAAGGGAAGGGAGCCCAGGAGGATAAGCCCCTGCTGCAGTCAGATGCTCTTGCTCTTGTACCAAGCAGCAGCAACAAAACTATTTGGCTACCGAAAAACAAAGCCTGGGGAGGTTCCTATGGTGAAGAGCTGCTGCCAGCTCTCAGCCGTGTGGCACTGCAGGTGTTTAGCACCCAACAGACTGACCATTGCTGACAGAAAGAAGGTTTTGTTGTTTTCATTCACATTGGGTGCAGTGACGATGTACCCGTGGTGGCAGAAAATGCTCGTTCTGCTAGGGATGAGAAGGCATAGCTGTGCAGGCAAAGCTCGGCAGGGCAGGCATGCCTTCACTCACCAGAGCCCAGGACAGTATCCGGAAAGGAGCCTGTTCTGGCTTGCTGTGATGAGGACAGGCAATACAATCGAGGTTATTAATTTAAGATCCTTGCTCAGTAATGCTTAACTTCTGTTCTAAAGCAGCCTCGGTCAAAGGAAGCAGCTGTTCAGAGCTCACAGCAGGAGGAAGAGCAGAGCCCGAGCCAAGCTGGACCTGCACAGGAACAGCCACAGGACAGGGAGGCAACGTGCTCCCAACCCCAGCTCCGCGGAGCGTATGAGAACGCCAGCCCAGGGCTAGTGAAGACGCGAGGTGTCTGTTGGGCCGGCTCCGAACAAGCTTTCAGAGCTGCAAACGGACTCAAGGCCGCCTTGCACTGACAACACGCCTGTCTCATCGAGTAGTCGTTTCTGTAGGGCTGACCTGTTCAAGTCACATCAGCACACAACGTCTGCAGATTTTACAGGTGATGCTCTCTTCAAAATCCTTAACAGCCTTACAGGCCAAGAATCGATTCCCTACAAATCTCAAACACACCTCAACTGGATGGCAGTAAAATTTACGATAAAAATCTATCAGCTACACTTTGAATACAACCTCTGTAGACAGAACCAACCACCAGTAGCAGTTTGTGCGCATGTGTTTTAACCAAAATACCAGGTCGGGTATGTCACACTTGACAAAGTTTACCCGCAATAACCTGCATCTACCAACCTTGTACCCACATTGGAACTGTAACCAGCTTGTTTGACAGGTTCCACGTGCTAAGCCAAGTTGATTTAGCATTAGTTGTCCAGACAACTTTTAATTCTCCGCCAATCGTGACCGTTATAGCATTTGGGTACTTTAATGTTTGCTTGGGACTGATAATGGATAAACAACTGCCCGACTAACCAAGGTGACAGTCAGTTAATTATCCCAGCGGGCCAACGAAACTCACGTCTCTGCCACGAGAGCTTCTCTGTTATTGTTTGCTTCGCAACATATCAATATGGACGGGTCAGAAGATTTTCTGCAAATCCTTCTGCTATCCTGGGCTACAAATAAGAGCAGATTCAACATTTCTTCCCTGCAACTGGATAAACAGAAAGTGCTACTGTTATCCCCCAGATATGAAAGCATCATCCAGTGGAGAACTAAAGCACGTTAAGTGCTTCTGCAGTAGCAGCTGTATCACCAAATCTTTGTTCTGAGCCTACATCATTGCCCGAGGGCGTGAGCTCAGATGCTGCACAGGCCCGTCTCCCCCAAGAAAAAAGGAGGCAAAGGAGGCGGCATCACCTACAAAAAGAAGAGCTCTGAAAAGGACTGGAAGCACAGATTGCAAGATGTGTGAATTAGAGAAACTCATCTAGATTCAGAAATATATTGGCCTTGAAAAAGCAAAAAGTTTTAGGGGAAGGCAACCCAAATCCAGCCGTAGCGAGGAACCCTGGCTGCTCCCCAGTTCTGCAGGAAAGCTCACAGCAGCTCTCAGATTCGGAGAAGCTGAGGCTGGCATGGAGGACTTTGAGGTCTTTGCTCTGAGCCTCCTTCTTCACCCCACTGCTTCTGCTAGCGGCTCGGTTGTTCACTGCACAGCAGAGCTGGGAGGGAACAGCCTTCTCTACAAAACACCAGACAAACAAGATGCAACCGACTCCTGCTTTACACCTCGTCCGCGTCTTTGCACCGAGGTGCGCGCACAGCTAGAGCGTTCTCCTAAACGTGGAAATCCGGGCTGCCTTCTGAACAGAGAACCGAGGCTGCCGCTTGCAGCGTGCTTCAGAACCTGCCCGGGCTCGGGGCGACGCAGCCAGAGCCTCGGACAGCCCCCTCCTCACCTGCACGAGGTTCACTCCGGGCACGAAGTTTTTCACCTCCTTGATCAGCTTCACCTTGTCGGCCGGTTTCAGCTCCGTCAGCCGGACGGTGAAATGCGTTTTCTCTTTCTTGAGCGGGGCCTCCTCCTCCTCCTGCAA